TATAACAATTGAACAAAATGGGGTAATCTTACTGTATTTATTTTTAAAAAATTTAACAAAAAAATCTATTTAAAAACACAAAACACAATTCGTTACAAAATCAATCAAATAAAAAATACATTATAAACTATTTAATATTTTTAACTATAACGGTTAATAATATTATAAGTGGCATTTGTTTGTCTGTTTCTTATTGATCCATTGTCGTGAAATAACAGATAGTCGTTAATTTAAAATATTCTTCGAAATTATCTATTTTAAAACAAAAATTTTATCATATTTTTGTTATTTGGTGTGTTTGAATAACATTATTTTGACATTATTGTTATTTGAAACAAATTAATTCAATATAATAATTATTATATTATTATTTAAACTTTATATTATTAATGGTAAAATAATATTATAAATATAGTTTGTAATCAATTCTAACATCCAAATAATTTAAATTGTCATCTATATAAAAACTACATCAAGTACATAAACATTATGTACTTTCTAAAATGATAATATTATAAATAAGGGTCATTATACCATTTTTTTGTTATAATAATAATTATGCATAAGATACAATATAGTTTTAATTACATAACATTGTTATATCAATGTAATCATTTATCACTTCGATAAAATCACGTTGTAGTATAGATATTATTGTTGATGTGTTATTGTGTCAAAATAATGTCTGTTGATGGTTACTATAATGTATAACAATTATAATTATAAAACTATTATAAATAACATGATAATTGTTAATAATCTATTAATTTATTTTATTATAAATTATAGTTTAAAGTGTTAACATTGGTATATATCATGATATCTTTACACTTGTGTTTTTCTTTGTTTTTCATCATCTCTATACATTTATATAAGTTTTTTGTTAGTTGCCCAAAAATGCATAATTCGAAAATGAATAAACAGTGGCTGCAAAATAAACATTTATTTACCAAATACAAATCTTTATATTATAAATAGACTGCATAAAACATGTTTTGCCTTTTGTTTTTGTTTGAAAATGATAAAATATTCAAATTACAAACAATGAATTCATATCTTGATTCATCGACAGTGGCACGAAGTGAATTTCAACGAGTGATCACAAAACCTCTTGGTGATCAAAGTTTATTTTAATGCGACTACTTTTATTGTTAAAGTTGATTTTATAAATTTTTCTCGATTTTGCGATTTTTGATATTTTTGAAAATGTATTTTAGTTATTTTTTGTATATTTTACACTTATTTTCTTTAAGATTTATTTTTCATAGTCAGAACAAACAAAAGTGTCTTTTCGTCTTATTTTATTTTTTTTACAAAAAATAGCAAAACCCAATTTTTTAAATTCTTGTATTTTTCAAAGTTTACAAAAAAATCTA